AACGGCCGTACCATGCTGAATATACCGGTTCTCGTTAGATCACCGAAGTCAAGCATCATTGGGCGCGGTCAGTACTTGGGTGGGTGACCACCTGGGAACACTGCCTGCGTGCCGTTGGCAAATTTGGGACCTGAATGGCCGAGTGTCTGGCGCTCTGGCGCTCGGTGCCACAGGTTTCGGGTTCGAATCCCGGCGGTGCCATGGATGTTTGTAGTGGTTCGGAATCCACTTTAAGCCGTAGGTCCCGGTCTTCTATGACTGTAAGAGCGTCACGGAGCAAAAGTCAGCCTTCTACCTACTGGTGCTCCCTTCAATCATGAGTCCATATGGGCTCGTGGGCTTGGCCAGCCAAGTGGGATAAGAAACAACAACAAACAACATAATATTACTATTAAAAACTTAAGCATTATTAATTCTATATTGATGTGTTTATACTACATACTAAAAGACTATAAAAAGTCATCAACATATATAAAAAAGAATTGTGAACATTTAATTTAATTTAATTTTAAACATTTAATTTTTAATTTCTTTTATGAACTTTTTACAAAATAATGTTTATTTACAAAATAATTAAGTAATTATCAAATGATTTAATAAAAAGAATTAATTTAGAAAAAGAATTTATGTAAAATTGTTCTAAAAAAATCGTCTGGTGGAAGCAAAGACAATTTTATTTCAAAGTGAAAATGAGATTTCTCAAGGAAAGAAAATCGTTTGGAATTTTACAGTTTATTTTTTTAGATTAATAGAGAGTTTTTGCATACCGTACTTTGGACGCCCGTTAGCTTTTTCTCCCTAGCGCGCATGCTCATAGGAAACATTATTACAGATACGCATGCGCAATTTCCTATGAGCATGCGCGCTAGGGAGAAAAAGCTAACGGACGTCCAAAGTACGGTTGAAAACGCTAAGCGCCCTCGGGCGTCTCTGCATAATTTGCAATTGACCTAGACTTTGTCATCATTTCTAGCAGCATTTCGCCACTTTGTAGTATATTTCACGTTTTCTTTTTTCTCTTTGATTTAAATTTTTTAATTTTTTGTATATATTCCTTGCATTTAGTACTTGTATATATTTTGTAAATTTTTGATACTACTTTTCTTTTTATTTTTATTATTTTCCCTTTTTACATTTTCTTGTATAGAATTGTTCATTTTTTGATTTTCTGTAATTGTAAATATTGTAAATTGTAATTTTGGGCAGTTTCCTTAATCATTTTTCCTGTTGTATATTTCTGTATCAATGTGTTTTTACCTAATGAACTTTATGTGCCATCTATCCTGGAGTCAAAGGTCCTGCAGGCCAAGGAACTCCGAAAACATTAAGAACGACGACAAAGTACGGTATGCAAAAACTCTCTAATGTAAGAACAACTTTTCAGAACTTTACTGCAGCAATTCTAAATTTCTTTTTTTACTAAATCAATTCTAAATTTTATGGGTGACCTGTATATCAGCCCAACTGATTACACATATTAAATTCTGACTTTTTGAATTTTTTAAAACTATGTGCACTATATGCTTTTTTGATAAGAAGTAAAGGTACAAAATTAAATATTTCTAAAGAATGATATAATAGAGAGTTTTTGCATACCATACGTTAGTTACCGTAGGACGTCCGTTAGCTTTTTCTCCCTAGCGCGCATGCTCATAGGAAACTGAGCATGCGCGCTAGGGAGAAAAAGCTAACGGACGTCCTACGGTAACTAACGTACGGTATGCAAAAACGCTCTAATGTCTTGAACACAAATTTTCACTCTGGTACCAAGTGCTACTCATTAAATTGATGACCTATTGCATTTAAGTTATATTTAAATGCTTCTTTTTTTTTTAGTTATATTTAAATTTTAGTTGTATTGCTTTAAAAATTAATATATTACAATTTTATTACTTTAAAATATTAGTTAATTAAAAGAAATATAAATAATATTTTGGAGCATACCAAAAAACAACGTACCAAGAAAGAAAAGTACCCTTCATTCAAAAATATTTAAACCAAATTAACATAAAACTTGCAATGACATTTTTAAAAAACAAAAATTAATTTATTAATAATTAATTAAATAATTAATAATAATTAAAAATTAATAATATTATTAAATTAATACAATAATTAATATAACTTAATATTATATAATTATACAAAAATTAAATTATAATAATTATTATAATTAATAAATTAATTATAATCATTTAAATATTAATTAAAAAATAATTAATTACACTTAACATTTTCTTTTGTTAGGAGGGTACAAAGGTAAAATTTATATTTCACTTTGCACCAAAATAAATTTTAAGACACATTTATATTTGCAAAGCGATGTTTCTAAACATTGAGACGAGTAATCTAAAAAATAATAAATAATTCCTAATAAATTCTATGCAACACAACCAAATTAAAAGAGAAATACCTTCAATTGATGAGATTTCCTGCTATTAATAAGTGCACCTTAATTAGTTGCCTCAATGCGATATCATTAACCTTAACTTTCGCCACTGCTGGCTGAGACAACACATCCTTGAGTTGGCTAAGTCCCAATCAGTGAAGGAACAAAGGCTTTCAAACTTCCCAGAAGTAAAATTTCAATCAGTTTTCTTTCTCAATGTCATAACATTACAGTAATGTTTGTTTATTTGAAGGAAATCGCTAGGTAAAAAACAACGTTGATTTAAAAACTGTTAAAATGAGCAACATAGTGTAGCATTTTTTTCTCAAGAGAAGAGTTTGGGCACTTCATTCCCTGGCGGGAGGAATGTATGGTACTTGAGAATCATATAATAAAAACCCAACTTTGATAGCAGACGAGCTTTATTTCGGATAGTTATCATCATGATTGGCGCAACAGCCCCATGGTGAGCCAAGACCGTCTGCTATTGGTAGATTTCGAAACATGAGAAGTCTTCTTTTTACGGAGTAGAGTTGTCAGTCCGACGCCCAACGCTCTACAGTCATGTTAGACTGGGACCTACAGCTTAAAGTGGATTCCGAACCACTACAAACATCCATGGCACCGTCGGGACTTGAACCCGAAACCTGTGGTACCGAACGCCAGAGCGCTAGCCACTCGGCCATTCAGGCGCCTTGTATAGTTATATTACGTGCAATTAGTGTTTTGTACTGATGAGAATAACGTGTCACTCAAATCTGATTGCAGATATTCGATATCATATATAATAAGACTCAGGAAATTAGAGAAAGTCTATGCGACCTTCACAGGTCGAAACAATTATTGAAGATGGAATATGGATTATACCATGAGTTTGTTCCATCGTGATCGGTGATAGACCACGAGCAGAGAAATGTCTACTCTAACGAGAAGTGAGGGAAGCTGACACTCCATTTGACTGATTTTTTTTTTTCTGAAGGGACAAAATAGACCGGAGTTTTCCTTCTGATTTCAAAGTGGGCCCCTTGTGGTTTCGTGAATCCCACCATGGAATAGTTAAGGTCTGCTGCAGATCAGGTGCTATAGATTTGTCGTAGACTCGAGAACTCTGAAAATCTTCGAACTTGGAATGAGCTGCCCTTGTGTATCTAATTTACATCCTTAATATTCATTTTTTGTAAATAGAGTTCTGTATATAAATATAGAGTGCTTGTAAATAAAATTTCGTAGTGTTCCCAAGAACCCTTTTCTTGAAGCCGTTATAAGTCTAGTACAGGCCGAGACTTTACGATAGCCATATTCATTATTGATTCTCAAACTTTTATCTTTTATAATTACCCTTCATCCCCGCATTTTTATAAGGGGCAATTCTGTCACACCTTTCGCCTCTTCAATTAATTTTTATCAAAAAATATCACGACAGATTTGATATTTATTTTTTATTCGTAAATAAACTCTTTTTTACCAGGCTACAGCAAATAAGGTACTTTTTACTTTGTTAAATTTGAGTAAGAAAAAATATTGGCAACGAAATTTAAAAAAGTGCAGAAAAAAATGTCAAGATATGCTAAACATAATAATATTAAACTCAAAATTTCAACTTTTGTGACGAAAGAATGCCTAATATAATAAATCTTTATAACTGGTTTCGTCAGTTTTTAATATCACCCATGATAGTAGTTTTAATAGGAATCAAAATTAAAATATAAAACACTTTTAAAAAATATAGAATTTAAAAATAAGAGAAAATAATTAAAAAGTAGAATCTAGAAAAAATTATCTTTCTATCCCCAGAATATCAATACAATACATTTTTTTATAAAATATAAATATGATGCACAAAATCGATAATCAAATCGTTTGGTTTTTATGTCAAACAGCTTTATGGTATTGAACAGATAAAATATAATTTAAATACAATATTTAAATATAATATTAAATACTAAAGGTACTAAATAAATTTTACTGTATAATTTTTATTAAGAATGGATTTTTTTTTTAATTTAAAAAAGCAGTATTTTTTAATCTATTGTATTTTTTAATCTATAAATCGATTAAAAAATGTATGTATCGATTTTTAGTTGATCATAATCATAAGGAAACAATTTTTACAAGAGCCATACACAATAATAATAAATTATTTTGATTTGGCAATATAAACAATAATAATATTAGAACTTAAAATGTCAGACACAAAAGTTTCAAAAATTTATTATTATTTAAATTTCGATAGCATTTTAAAAAATATATATATTTTTCTTAGTTTAGAATAAATTATTTGAATATTTACCAATTTAAATTACTAATTTATATTACTTATTTAGCAAAATATTCTTATGATATTTTCTTACCAATTTATAATATTTATCTTCTTCGAAATAAGAATACAGATAAATTTTCAATTATCAAAATTTCAGAAGCTTTAATTTTGATTAATTTCTTGATTTGCTGGAAAACAGTTTTTTGTAAGTAGAAAAAGATAATTCAAATTCTGTCTATGATTATCACTATGCATCTGATAAAAAAAAAAAAAATATTAAAACTTAAGAAAAAAAATTGGTTCACTCAGAATTGTAGTTGACAAAAATTCAAATTTATATCAACAACTAATTTTTTTTTCGCCAAATATTAAGCAAATGTAAGACGGAAGCAGATGATTCTGCAAATAATTGACAAAAGCAAATAGTTATCAAAAACAAATCATAAAATGCTTT